GCTGACACCACCATCACCACCACCATCTATCATCAGAATGACTGTCCACAACCTCAGCTTCTTTATATTTTCTTATTTTTTATTGCTGGCATATCGAAATATAAACTGATCTTATATCCAGCCATCTTGCTAAATTCCCCTGTTGTTTCTAATAATTTGTCTATTCATTCTTTTGGATTTTCTGTGTCATCTGAAAGTAATGAAGCTCCACTCAAAGTCCAGGATGAGAATATCCAAGTGGCTGAGCCCAGGTCACATGCCTGAAGCAAGTATCTGGCATTTTTAGTGGGAGGGAGGCACTTCACCCCACCAAAATTTGTAAGGTGGGGAACTCCTCAAACATAAGAATGGAGAGGAAAAAATTATTTTGCTAAAATACATAGTACATTCTAGGGAAATATTTTGCCAGAAATGATCATGAGTGATAGAAATAACAAATAATACAGTATAATAAGAAATAAATAATTAGAGCACAAAATACGTAACAAAATAACATGAGGCATAGAGACAACAAAGGATCATTCCAATAAAAAAGTTATAATTAAACTCAAAGTAAAAATAAACACAAGAATGATACAATCTTAACATCTGAACAACGCACTTGGACCATACCATGGATCCTTCAGGGCCGCTGGAATTCATTCCCCTCAACTCCTTCTGAAATTCCAGAATGGAGTCAATGAACTTTCAAAATAATGCAACAAGGGTCAACTGTTTAAAACTTTGCACATTTTATAAACGTCTCATCACATGTGCTGAATGGACCTCTAAGGGTGAAATGGCCAGAGAGAAACAAAGAACAAAAATATAGCTAGTAATTACTTTTCTGTTTCTCTTCCCCTCCTAGAGGGGCATCTTATGGTTGGTTCCCCTCCCTTACAAGAAAAAAAAAAAAAGAATATGAAGAACAGAAAGTCAAACAGGGAAGAAAAGATTATGATAATCCTTGATTGCCTATGAGTATTCTTCTCCAGTTCTTTTTCATCCTTAATTTTCTCCTCATATGTTAAAATGGACCAGAGATAACTCATGCCTTTATAAAAATTCCTGATTTATTTTAAAATGTTTGTAAGGGATATATTTATTTTTGCCTATTTAATCTAGATTCATTTCAAATGGGAGACTGAGGATGGTTTCACAAAAGGGAAAAGCTGGGACTTGAAGGACGAATAAGTAAGAGAAAGGAAGAGGCAACATTCCAGACCATGAAATAATACAGATAGAACTGAGAATACACAAGGTCTTACATAATGAACTGGGAGTAGAATGACTGCAGCACCAGCCTATTGACACTACAGTGAACCTTAAATGAACAGATGGGAAACCTGGAAGAGAAGCAGTTTGGGAAAGCCAGAATTATTTAGTTATGAACAGATTAAGATTTGCCCATAAAACATTCAAATAATGTTATCAAGTAGGCAGGTGGAAATACATGCTCAGGAGGAGGCTAGAGATCTAGGAACCAACTCACATGCAGATCATGGTCAAAGCCACAGACCATGTATTCCTTACTCATTTTAAATGGGCCCTACCCTACCAGAGCACTTACGTGAAAATTACTAAGCAAGGTAGAATCAAATATAGTGATAAATAATTTTATATTGCCTAAAGCAATTCAATGAACTCTTTAAATTTAAATAAAGTCAGAATAGATTTTCTTTTTTCTTTTTTCTTTTTTTTCTTCCTTTTTTCGTGACCGGCAACGGATCGCAACCCTCAGTGTCGCGCCCGTACCGGACCAGGACCGGCAACAGGATCGCAACCCTTGGTGTTGCGCCCGCACCTCGCTCAGCCAGTGAGCTGCCGGTCTGTATGTGGGATCCGAACCCTCGGCGGGAGCGCCGCTGCGCTCCCAAGTGGCGCACTGTAGCAGTGCGCCACCGGGCCGGCCCCTGAATAGATTTTCTTGATTGAAATTCTACATAGATACACATACAGTCATCCTTCAGTATCAATGGGGGATTGGTTCCAGGACACACACACACCCCCCACACCAAAATCTAAGGACACTCAAGTCCTTGGTATAAAACAGGATAGTATTTGCATATAACCTATGCACATCCTCTCATATACTTTAAATCACATATACATTACTTACAATACCTAAGACAATATAAATGCCATGTAAATAGTTGTTATAATGTATTGCTTAGGGAACAATGACAAGAAAAAAAAGTCTGCACATATTCAGTACAGGCTCAACCACTGCAGGCCTAAGTACATTTTCCATCAGCTGTTGGTAGAATCCGTGGATGTGGAACCCGTGGATATGAGAACCAACTGTACAAATACTGCAATTCAAGAGGATTCTTCAGTAAATGGGAATACTGCTGACGCTTGCACTGCATTTTCAGTTTAAAACACCTCTCCATGTGTGATCATTTGTTTTGTGCCTCCCTGTAACGATGCTTTCAGAGATGAGGAAACTGAGGCTTGAGAGAGAGAAAATAACCTGCTTAAGTGTTAGTAAGTGGTAGAATCCAGCCCTGAACTCAGGTCCTCTGACTCCAAACCCAGTGTTACTGGATTTTAGTGACCAGATAAATGGCTATGGAAAGAGTTTCTTGAATCCATATGAGCTATAGACTAAATACAATGATTCAAGTATATAAGCATAGTTTTTCTTTCATAGCTTTGAGGCTTTTTTACTGATCAAAAATCAATATATACTCACTGTAAATAAATTCTAATTTTACAAAACTGTAAACAATAGACAGTGACATTCCCCCATAATTCCAAGTCTCAAGATATTTGCTACTAATAGTTTGAAGTATATTCCACAAGACTATTTTCCTTAAATATTTTATTAATGCTTATACAGGAGCTATATAAATGTGTTTATGTGCTTAAATATATTTCTGTACTTGCAGATGTTTCTACAGGATCAGGTTTCAGAAGCAGAATGTCAGGTCACAGTGTGTACTTTAAATTTTAATAGCTATTACCAAGTTGCTTTCTAAAGAGGTTACACCCATTTCTACTGGTATACAATACGTGACAAATTTGATTACTTAAAATGTAAAAATTTTATAAGACAAAAGACATCATAAACAAAGTTAATACAAATAAACTGAACAAAATATTTCAAAGAGTTAATTCCCCTCATATATGGAAATTTCTTACAAATCAAAAATTACAAAGAAAAAAATGAGCAAAGATTATAAAAATAGTAAATACAAATAGTCAACAACACATAAATCAATGTTTAATCCCCCTCAATAAAGAAATCCAAATAAAGCAAAAGCAAGGTAACATTTTTTACCCATGAAACTGGTAAAATAAATAAAGACTAATATTATCTATGGGAACCAAGAAACGAGATCTCTCATAGACTGCTGAAAGGGGTAAACTGACTCAGCCTCTGCAGGGCATTCTGGCCCTGTATGAATGTTTGGTATATGGACTCTGAGCCAGCAAGTCCATGTTTAGGAATTAATACCAAGTCGGTAACTATACAAGCGCACAATGATTTATTCACAGAAGTGCTCAGTGCAGTGTTGCTAATAATAGCAAAAACTCAGAAACAGCCTAAATGTCCATCAATCAGAAATCAAATAAATTATGTTAAAACTATACGATGGAGTATCTTATTGCCACAAAAAAAAAAAATGATGCTGTGATGTTTATTAATAGCAAAAACTCAGAAACAGCCTAAATGTCCATCAATCAGAAATCAAATAAATTATGTTCAAACTATACGATGGAGTATCTTATTGCCACAAAAAAAAAATGATGCTGTGATGTTTATTTTTTTTAGCATAGAAAAATGTCCACGATATTAAAATATGTAGAGAATGCTCCCATTCACATAATCTTTTAATTCTATGTTTCCACGAACTTTTTGAAGTACTCCCATATGTGTATATAAGCCATAGGAAAAATTCCTTAAGATATATTTCAAAATATTAATAGTTACATCTTCATGGAGGAATAACAGATAATTTTTCATTATACATGATATAATTGTTTTGAATGTACGCATATGTATACTTTTCTATTAAGGAAAATATTAAGACCATTTTCATTTAAAAAGAGATGAGAACCTTGAAAAGTTGGCAGTCAGTGGGCCAGAACTAGACTATGTCCTAAATCCTTTCCCCTTCTGAAATTCTGCACGATAGTTAAGGAAATATTTATTCTAGGGGGCTTGTTCCTCATATTTAAAAAAACCTGCTCAAGAATTATTATTTCCCTACATCTTTTCAGGAAACTAAAATACAAGAAATATAACTTTTCTCATTCACATGATTTTTGATATTTTAATAATAATGATGGTTGTATCCTGGGAGTATGAAGAAGGGGTGAAGAGAATAAAGAAATGATAAAACCCCAGCCTAGGCTAACCTTTCTTAGGTTTCAGGACTGCCAAAGAACATCAATGCAAATCTCCAAATTTACGTCTTAGAGCTAAAGATTCTTAAAGATTTATGTGTGTAATACTATCCTATTGACAACAAAGATTACTGCTGCTGGTTTGTAACCGCAGGAGAGGAGTTAAGGCAAACATAATCAGTTAGACTTACATTAAACTATCAGATGAAATATATTACCTAAACTTTACTTATCACATTTTTTAAAAATGTTCATAAAAGCATACGAGGGTATTTCAAAAGGTTCATAGAAAAATATAATTAAATGGGCTGGCCCGGTGGTGCACTGCTACAGTGCGCCGCTTGAGAGCGTGGCGGCGCTCCCGCCGAGGGTTCGGATCCCACATACAGACCGGTTCCCACTCACTGGCTGAGCGAGGTGTGGGCATAGCACCGAGTGTTGCGATCCCGTTGCCGGTCCCGGTCCGGTACGGGCGCGACACTGAGGGTTGCGATCCGTTGCCGGACACGAAAAAAGACAAAAAGGAAAAAAAAAAAGAAAAATATAATTAAAAGATAATACAAACCTTTCCATGAAATTTTGAAGTACCCTTATATTCAAAAATTCATTTACGGTTTCAACTCTTACAGATTATATATGTTAAAAAGAAACAACAATTAAATAATTACCTCTCCTATGAAGACTACTATAACACAGTCCATCTTCTCTTCAGGATACAAATTATCAATAAGGGAATGAAGAGTTTCTATGAGGTAAGATTTAACTTCCCTCTTCACCGTGGGTATTCCCATTACTATTGAAACTGAAACAAAATAATACAGTAATTATATAAAAAGATTGTACAAGAACGTTACAGAAAAACACTAATATTTCAAAAGTATTATACTCGTAAATTGATACAAATAATTGAGGTATCAAAATATACTAAGTTTCAGAAGGAAAAACAATCAGATACAATACTGTAATTCCTTTCCATATGGCTTAACCATAAGACAAAATGTAAAGGAACTGATAAAAACGAAAGATATTAAACCTCACAACAAAAATGAATGGCTGTAAAGTATAAACAGCAAATTTATTATACAACTAAAATTTAGAAACATTAAACATCTTAAAACTGAATATCTTACATACCAGCTTCAAGTATTATGACACACTGAGAACAACACAAAATCACTGCCATAGTTTTCTTGCCAAAAATGCATAACCTCAACCTAACCATGAAGAAACATCAGACAAACCTAAATTGGGGGAATGCTCCACAAAACACCCAGCCAGTATTCTTTAAAGTGTCAAGGTCATGAAAGACAAAGAAAGAATGAGAAACTGTCCCAGATTGGAAAAGACTAAGAAAACATGACAATTAAATGAAATATGGGATCCCGAATTAGATCCTGGAACAGAAAATAAATAATAATGAAACAAATGACAAAATCTAAATAAGAGCTATGGTTGGTTAATAGTATAGCATCACTGTTAATTTCCTGGTTTTGATCACTGTAGTATGTTGTGTCTGATATGAACATTTAGGGACATGGGGTGAGGACATACAGAAATTTTGTATATTATTTGTGCAATTTTTTAGTATAAAATTACAGTCAATTCTACTATAATGCTTGTTTTGAATGCAAATTTGTTCCTACAAGATTAATATATTAGGGAATAATTTAGGCATAACGTGAATTTCACATTTTATTTTGTGCAATTTCTCCTCTGAGGTAAATGCTCACTGGGTGAACAACAGAAAATTGTACCCAACTAAGTCAAGTTGAGAAAATTGAACCAAACCATGTAGAAAAATACACAAAACATACACATCTCAATCATCTACCAGCTTCCTCAGTTGACCAGGCACTATCAATGACACCCACACACATCAGGTGTTAAAACTTGCCATCAGTTTGCAGATAACCTGCCTTGTACCTTTTCACAATCCCTTATAAGCTGTAACCCTTCTGCAGCCCACTTTAACAAACAGATCTCAGGTCTTTTTCAAGGTAGAATACTATATTTATTGTAGCATTTATGTATTTCTTGATAATTTAACATGCATAAAATTGTGCTACAGTTTTTATCAGGTTCTTATCTTTTTTTTATGTATAACTGACAAAATTGAGTGTTATGATCCTAACCCCATTTTTCTCATTTTACTGCACAATTTTGCATAGCACAGTGATTTTTAGGAACATATATACTATATTATAGAACTATTTCAAAGTAAATTTTTAAAAATTATGTCTTAAAGTCTTTGTATTCTGAGTGTTAATATATCAATAGAGAAGTATTTTGCACGTGTTAAAAATAACTTAGTTTTAATTATGTCACAATTTATTGGATATGCTATGAAACACTTGGAAGCTTAAAGACCATGGATCAACTGGTCTGCCATCATGATTCTGCTGGTAAGAACACTAAGATTCAAAGGATTTAAGGAAATGCCCCAAGGTACTATGCCATCCCTCTCTTCCATTTTAGGGATGAAAAGTTGTCAAGACTAAAAAAAGGGAGTTGCTCTATTTGCTCTACACATATTTATTGAATACCCATTAAATGAAAGGCATTATTCTAGGTGTTAGGCATATAATGGTGAACAACATAGATTAAAGTCCCTGTCCTCATGTAACTTACATTCTAGAATGGGGAAAAAGATAAATAAATAATAGAAGGTCTTCAAAAAGTTGATGGAAAATGTATATTATGAAAAAATCATGCAGGGATTGCAACATTTTTTTGCACCAAAATCAACTTGTACTAACTTGTTATAAAATGTCTGAACAGGATCTAGTTTGATGGACTAAGAACGGTAAGACATCAGTTTGAAAAGAGCCCATATTGGAGCAACATGGATTCTGCTAAAATTGAAGCAAGAGGCTTCCCGTCAAGATGGCAGAGAAGACGGTACCCAGCATCACTCTCTCCCACAAATCAACCAACTTACAACTATTAAAAAGCAACAGCCAAGGTGGGGCCACTAGAGCTCAGGGAAAGAGGAAGAGAGACCTACAGAGTGCATGAAGGTGGGAGAAGCCACGATGAGAGAAAGAAAGAACCCCTCTGACCATTTCAAGCCCTGGCCGCTTCAAGGCTGGGGCTGGTGATCACATGGAGCAAGAGCTGGCAAAAGCCACAGCTGTGCCCTTTGGATGGAGTTGCTTAGAGGCTGCAGGGGAGAAGAGAGCCTTGGTGGCCCTCAGGCCAGCAAGACCACTAACAGGGTTCCCATGGACCCACATAGGAGCAAGGAGCACAACTGAAAAAAAGCAGCCACTCAGAGGTGGGTGAGTCACGGCAAGGGACCAGCATACAGCCCGCCCAATGGGAAGTGGTTTGAGCATGGGTGGTAGGGGAGATGGGAGCACTGGGAGAACACAGGGGCACAGCAAGGACAGCTGATCTGCCCCCCGGCCAGCATAGGACCACTCAGTGGAGACTGGTCAGGAATATAGAACTGCAGGGGGCGCAGTTTGCTGAAAAGACTCAGGCCCAGACCAGAGTTCCTATACAACCCAGGTGTACCAGAACTCACTATTCCCAGAAGCACCTATAAAGTCAACCATTAAAACCTGAGCTGTACAAAAAGCCTTCCCCAGGGAATCAGCA